AAAAAAAAAAAAAAAGGGCAGGGGCTTGTGGAGGGTAGTGAAGCTAGGAGTGAAGATCAACCAGAACTAGGAAGCTAGGAGCCCAGGAACAGTCTGTCTCCTCTGAAGACATGGGATTATCAAATCTCTCCTTCTCCCTGCCTATCTCATCAAGGCCCCATTCACCTAAGACTGACATCCACTGAGAGAGAAGCTATGGCATCCTAGAGCAAAATTCCTACAACGAAAGAATCTAATTGGCTCCGGTCAGGTGCCACCCCTAGTCCAATTTACTGTTATTTGGCATAGTTCCCACTCAGGATGAGTGTAGGAGCAGAGCTGCTGGGAAGAGGCTGGGCAGGCAGAACCAGTAACCAGGGCTCCCACTGCCCAGGAGTCCCAAAGCCATTCCCAGAGACTTGAGAGCCCTGTATCCTCTGATGGATGCTCCCCATCACTGCATTCTTCCTTCAACCCCTCTGTGGACAACACAGCTGCTAGGAGAGAAAACCATATCTAGATAAAATCCTGCTTGGGACAGGGAAGGACACCCCTTCCCCTGGCTTAGGCTCCCATACTTGCTGCTCATCTCCCCAGGTTCGTCGGCATGGCTACAGTGCTGCTCAAGCCCTTGGTGAAAAAACCAAAAGAGGTTCTTTTCGTGAAGGATCTGGCCCTACTCAACCATTCCATGCTGCCCACAGGCGTGAGTTGGGCCCCAGGAAAGGTTGCTAGAGGATTGGGGACAGCCAGAGAAACTGGGCTACTCTACCCCAATAAAGGCCCAGTGACCTCACCCAGAGAGTGTTTCCTGCCCACGGGGGGCCCCATCACACTGCCATCATCTCCCCGACTTTCCTACCTTCCCACCCACCTGCCCACCCACCATTTAGACTACTTAGTTGATCATTCACTGGGTATCGGTGACTGTGGTAGGCCTGGGATACTATATTGAATGAAACCCACAGTCTATTGGAGTAGGCACCACTCACAGTGACAAGTGCTCCAGCACAGTGTACAAGAGTGAAGAGAGCTAGGTCACTGAGGTCAAGAGGGAACGAATGATTCTGCTTGGGAGGTCATGGAAGGTTTTACAGAGGAGGTGATTAAGACATGTGGAAACAAACAAAGACCAACGGGTTGAGAACCAGCAAAGGCTATGTATTCGGAACTAGCAATAGCAAGGGAGTCAACCACCATCACTTGAGTTTGGCAGAGACTCAAAGGCAGGCAGAGGAGAGGGAAAACTCTACATCAGGGGGGAAAAAAGCTCCAGGTGTGTGTGGATGGGAGACTGTTGGCCTAGGGAAGCTGTAAGTGATGTCACTAAAGCTGGGTATCCTGTGATTGGTTAAGGTGCACATTTGGCTTTCTCTGGTTAGTCCTAAGCTGGAAGTGGAGACAAAAATGAGGGAAGTTGCAGTTATTAATCAAGTCCTGGCCATTTGGGGCTGATCACTGTTGTTTGCTTCCTGGATTATTGTTGCTGGAGCTAGTGGTCTGAATTCTTATAAGTCTGATTTACAGCACTGGCTTCCTGGGCTGGTTACTGTAGATACTGGGTTGATTTCCTGGACTGAGTGCTGCAGATTGTGGGGCAAAGTTCCACTTTCATATATGCTCTGGCCATTGTCCATTTGTCTATTCAGTTTATAACCACCAGTTTACAACCTCTCTGCACCCGGACTACACAATGCCCCATGGTGTGGCCTTGCAATATGGCCAGCATCACTCCACCCAGGAGAACTGGACTTGAACCTACCAGGCTTGGCTGGGTTCTGGTGCTAGGACTGGGCCAAAAATTGCATGGTCTGGCTTACAGCTCCCTTGCCTTTGCCTTATAGTGCACTATCACCCTACATGTGGCCCATATGACCAAACAGGATATTAAGAAGACAGGTATGTATGTTCATGGAGCTTACTCCTGCCTTTCCCCAAGCATAGCTGGATGAGCATTTTGGGATCTTCAAGACCCAACCCTTGAGGCCTATAGAAGGATTGTAACCAGGTTAGTGTCTACAGGCCAGATCTCCAGACACTTAGCTGAGGCTGTCACCTCAATATGTCCATTTGTATCTCTAGACATGCAGCCTCCAATGGGCTGCAAGGAGAGGTAAGGATGGCCATTTCCAAGAGCCCCCATGTGTGGAGAGTGGGACCTGGGGTTACTGAAGGTAGGCGGGGGCCCATGGAATGTTCTGGGACAGACGTGTCCCTATCAGGTCTTGGCCATGCTTTTAGTTAGGAACTAGCCTTTGGGGATAGAATGAGAAAATGAGGAAAAGTCCTCAAAATGTCCTGAGCCCCAGCCTCTGAGAGCTCACCCTGGACTGTGTTTCTCCAGGGGATGAAGGCCTCCTGGACATAACTGCAGGAGAAGTAGCCAGGCAGAAGCAGATGGTTCCCAGCTACGCTGTGCGCAAGGAGCTCTCCTCAAAGCCTCAGCACTTCCAGGTGAGGACCTTCCAGGTTGAAAGCCCATGTAATTTGCCTGACACCTCATGGTGTTCCCAGGTTATCCCACCTCTCCACAAGGTCGTGGCAGAGGGTTGGAGCTTCAGATCGAGCTACAGGTTCTCAGATCCTCACTGCATCCCTGCTCATCCAAGGGACACCACTCTGGGGAACTTCTGCACATAGCTGAAGCTAGAGACAGTCTTAGTGCAGTAGGAGGCACTGGTGGCTGTGCACCAGCAGGTCCTGGCAGGTGCCAGGGAGACAGAGAAGAAGGCCTGGGCCCTGCCCTGCAGGAGTCCACGGGATTCTTGACAACACAAGGCCAGCCACGTGCAAGGTCAAATTAGCTGGATGGGAGAGCTGAGGACAGTTTGAGGGATTCGTGGGATGGTTCATGGGCTCCACTGTGAATCCTGTAACCCCCAACTTCCCTTCAATCTCAAACCGGTGACCTAACATTTCCGCCATGGCTTCGTCTGCCTCCGCCTGCCACTTGCTCAGGAGGCTGGGAGCCATCCTTGACTGCTCCTGTTCCTCACAGAACTCCTTGCATCCAGCCACTGGCCAAGGCCAGCGCTTAACTTAATATCACCTGACTGCTCCCGTTTCTCCATCGCCACTTCCATTCCTTGGCTCAAGCCATCCATCACCTCCCTGGACCAAACTCCAGGCTTCCAGCTCTTTCCTGTCCCGTCTTCATGCAAGTTGGTCTTTCAAAGATGTCATTCTCATCATGTGATGCACCTGCTTAAAAATATCCGTAAGCCCAGGTCGGTTTGGCTCAGTGTTAGAGCGTCAGCCTGAGGACTGGAGAGTCCTGAGTTTGATTCCAGCCAAGGGCACGTACCTTGGTTACAGGCTCGATCCCCAGCCCCAGGGTCGGGGCACCTGCAGGAGGCAACCAATCAATGTGTCTCTCTCCCTCTCTCTTTCTCTCTTTCTCTCCCTTCCACTCTCTCTGAAAAACCAATGGAAAAAGTATCCTCAGGTGAGAATAAAAAATAAAATGTCCTTAAATATAAGGACACCCCAATGTCCCCAGGACAAAAGCCAAACTCCTTACAATGGCTTCCCAGGCCCTAGATACACCAAGCCTGCCACTCCAAGCCACCCTCTCTCCTGCCCCTGCCACTCTACCCCACGTGAACATCCTGGACAACGCACAGTCCCCATCCTCGAGCTTCTCTCCAGGCCAGGCCTTTGCACGCGCTGCCTTCAGAGTACCTTCTCCTTCCTGTTGGCCCCACTCTTTTTCACCAGGTTAGTTTTCCACAGGAGAGAAGGTCAGTGTGCCTATGCCACTCCCCCTCCTAGGTTGCGGTGGCTAGGACCAAATGCTGGCCCGAGGGCCTGCAGCCTGGTTTGGCCTCCTCTAGTCTCTGATGTTCAGGCAGCTGCTGTGAGTCCGTCTCTGAAGGACCCCTGACTTGTTGGAGACACAGGAGGCCTCAAGGAGAATGGCCGGCCCCACGGCCTGGTCTGGGAGCGCCGTATACTATTTACTCCCTGTAGTCAGGCGTCAAGCTCCCAAGGCTGTGCACCGCTCCCCACGGCCAGCGCTATTTCCTCCTTCCCGGGCTCAGCCCGCCTGGATCTTACATGACTCTAAGTTGCTCATCTCCCTCTTGCTTTCCAATTCTAGACTCAGATGTCACAGTCCCTTTACTGAGTCTTGATAAAGTTCATAAAAGCAGCAGAAGAAATCACAAATCAGAGATTATACCACGATTGTAGATTCAACTGCGTGGAACTTTAAAATTTTCAATTCCTTAAAAAGATCATAGGTAAATAAAAATCAGCCCTGGCCAGTGTGGCTCAGTTGGTTGAGCACTGTCCCATGCATGGAAGGGTCACTGGTTCGATTCCTGGGCAGGGTACATACCCAGGCTGAGGGTTAGATCCCCGGTCAGGATGCATGTGGGAGGCAACCAATTGATGTTTCTCTCTCCCTCTCCCTTCCTCTCTCTCTAAAATCAATAAAAATTTATTTTAAAAAAGAAAATAAATTAAATAAAAATCAACAAACAGAAACATTAGACTGTTTTTCTTCTTCTGTAACAAACCCACTCCAGTGGAAAAGAAAACCAAGTCCACATCTTTGGTTTCATCAAACCGAGATGAAAAGGGCAAGGCAGTGGAGTGACAGTTCCCAGAAGGAAACAGCCAGGCCTGTCTCCAGGCAGGCAGATCCAGCTCCTGCCAGCCTTCCCCCTGTGGGTTCTCCTACTCACAGTAGATTTTTCTCATCACATTTGGTTCTTTTAGAGAGAATCCCTGTGGGAGAAGGGGAGCCCAGGTCCCCAACATCAGGGTCTCATTTTTGTCCCTGGTAGGTTCAAGTAAAGGTGTTTGAAGCCCGCCAGCTCATGGGCAATGACCTCAAGCCGGTGGTGAAGGTGGTCATCGGAAGCCAGCAATACTACACACGGACCAAGAGGGGAAACAACCCTTTCTTCAATGAGGTGGGCCACACGTGGCTTTCAGGGCTGAATGGGTGGGCACTTTCGCCAGTTGAGCCAGTGGGCTGGGCATTTCCTGCAGGTGGGAAGCCAGCTTGCTCCTTGATGAGGGCATTGTCATGTGTTCCATAAACATTTACTGAGCACCTACAGAGGGTCGAGCACTGTGCTTGGCACTGGGAACACAGACGGGTAATTTGCAGGAATTAGTGATAGAACTGTAGACCTGGGGAGGGAAGCCTACAAAATGCACTGGGGCTTGTCATGGATGACACTTGGGAGCCACACAAGGATCGAAGCAGGAGAGTGACAGAGCCAGGTTTGCATTTGGGAAGGAAGTTCTGGCTGCATCAGGGGGTGGGGGTGGAGTGGACTGACAGGGCCATCTGGAGGGAGACAGAGGCTTCAATCTCCATCCCAGGGTGGCTAGCTGGGCCTTAAGCAGCTCACAACAGGTTCTCTGGGAACCCCCTACCCCTACCCTTTACCCAGGCAGAAAACCCTCTGGGAGCCTGGCAGGCCTCTGCTTCCTGGGGGCAAGCGTGAGGGCAGTGTCAGCTGAGAGTTACTGAAATGGGCAGGTGACGGGAGGAAGTCCACCTCTCTGAGCTTTTGGGCTTACCGAGTCGCTGGGTCAAGTGCTGGAAGAAACATCGTCTACCCCCATCCCTATCCTGTCCTTCAGATCTTCTTCCAGAATTTCCATGAGATTCCTGCAAAGTTCTTCGATGACTCCATCTTAATCCAGGTGAAGAACCAGAAAAGATGGGTCCATTCCCTCGTCCCACCTCAGTTGTGGGAAAGCACGTCTTTCCCCGCAGCCCCTCCCTTAGAGCCAGAGTCACTTCAGATGGTCTTTCTGACTCCAGGGCAGCATCTCCACCACCTTCCTCACTCCCTGGCAGCCAGACCCTCATTCATTCATTCATTCATTCATTCGGTAAATATGAAATGCCAACTGCGAGGCCCTGACCTGGTTGGACACTGAGTTGAACAAAACAGCCTCTTCCCATGTGCCAGGCCTCTCATGCCACCAGAGGACCCCTCTAATGTCCGCTAGAAGTGGCACATTCCATTCTCTTACCAGAGGGAGCCCAGTGGTGAACACGTGCTCATCACATGTCCCCCAAGTGCCCAGCGCAGGGCCAGGAGAAGGAGGAGGCCTCCCCTCCACGAGTTTCCCCACGCGTGGGAACGCAGGCATGTAGGACAGCCAGGAGAGCAGGCAGTGAGGGCCGAGTGTTGACCTTCGGGTTGACCAAATGAATAGGCCTCTGTAATCAATTTTTCATCAGGAAAATGGAACTAAAAACCTGAACCTCAGGGTTTCTCTGAGAATTAAAGGATATACAGCGTTGGCCACTGGGAAGCTGGAGAAAACCCTGGAGAATTCTGAGTGTGCCCTTGGGGCTCCTGCCCTGGGCGTGGGGGAGATGGGCGGTATAAACTAAGCTCTCTCTGGGCATCCCCCTGCAGGTGATGAATTCCAGGATGTTGAGATCCAATGCGGAGATCGGGAGATTCCAAGTGAGCACTGGAGAAAGGGGGAGGTTTGGGGGACCGGTCATAGAGACCCACCCACCCTGGGGCTCCAGGCACAGGCCCAGAAAGGACTTGGATTTTCATGAGAAAGATCCAGATTTGGATCCACCCACCAACTGGGTGGCTTAGACAAGTGTCTGAGCCCCTAGTTCCTCATCTGTAAAATAAGGGGGATAATTTCCTCAGCCACAGGGTTGTGAGGGTTAAAGAGTGTAGTATTGGTGAAAGCACCGGATGCCATGTTGAAACCCCACACTTCTAATGGGATCGACACAGTTCAAGCTTCTGTCTCCAGGAAAAGGAAGCAGGGGATCCAAAAAGGCCAACCTAATTATTGGAAAAACCCAGAGAAAGATCACTGCCCGTGAGGACAGAGTGAAGGGTTTGCTTTGAAAAGACACAGGCTGAGGCAAGGAAAGTTTACATAGTCACAAAGGGCCACACAAAGATTCCCCAAACCCAGGAAGGTCAGAAAAGGTAGTGTTGCCAGGTTAAATACAGGAGCCCCATTAAATCTGAATTTTAAACAACAGGTACTTTGTAATTAGAAGTATGCCCCAAATATTGCATGACTCCTCAGGAAACATCGCAGGAGAGAAATGTATCCTGAAAAGTAGTCATTGTTGATGTGCAATTCAAATTTTAAGCAGCTTCTGTGTTTTTATTTCCTAAACCTGGCAACCCACCATAAAAGGGCTCCACCCTGGGAAAAGGCAAATTTAAGACAAATTAAAGTTAGGTCACTTTCTCATTACTTGTAATAAGCACATGAACGGTAATGAACTACCCCTCCCGCTGTCTTGCCCTTGAAGCAGAAGTGCAGGCTTAGAAATTAAGATTCTGGAGAGGGTAGATGGCACGAGGTCAAAAAGGTTGTGTTTTGACAAAGGCCACTGAGAAATTTTCAGACAAGTACCAACCATATGAACTGCTGAGTAAAATACAGAGGGCAGAGAAAACCTGAGCTTTTAAAAAAAATATGTTACTTTTGGGGAAAATTTCAAACATACCTAGAAGTAGAGAGAAACGTATCAATTCCCACCTCCTCCTCTCTCGGCTTCACCAATTCATTGCCAATCAGGTTTTTATCCACACCCAGCCCATGTCCCCAGCCCCTAGGAATCACTTTGACTCAAATCTCAGACACGATATCATTTTATTTTTTAAATATTTCAGTGTATAGTTCTAAAACATTTTATTAAGCATAACCAAATACAGCTATCACATTTAATTAAAAACCTTTCTAATTTGGTATTCAAATTCTCCTAATTGTCTTGTGAATTCCTTTTACAGTTTGCTCAAATCAGGATCCAAACAAACCAGGTGCATACATTGCAGTTGGTCAAAATGCATTTTCAGGTCTCTTTTATTCTGTTGATCCCATCCCCTTTTTTTCCTTGCAATTTATTTGTTAAAGAAACAAATTTGTTTGTCTTATAGAGTTTCCCCCCAGTCTGGATTTTGCTGATTGCATCTCTAGGGGATCACTTCTCAGGACCCTCTGCCCACATATTTCCATCTCTTTGCCAAAGTGACTTCAGCAGGAGACACAGAATGTCTGTTGGTCTCTCTTTTCTTGGCAACAGCTACTGATGATCACTTCCTAGATCTACTGCTTCATTAGGGGTGACTGAGGTTTTGGGGGTTTTAGAGGTGACTGAGCTTTGTTTTGTTTTCTTCCAGCTTTATTGAGGTACAACGGACATACAATGAATTATACATGTTTAAAATATATAATTTGATATATTTAAAAATATGTATACACTTGTGAAACCATCATCATAATCAAGATAATGAACATATCTATCACATCTGTCATCCCCAAAAAGTTTCCCTGTGTCCTTTTGTAGTTCTCCCCTCTAACCCCCATCCCACCTCCTCCTATCCCCAGGCAACCAGTGGCCTGCTTTCTGTAACTATAGGCTGCTTTGTATTTTCTAGAATTTTATATAAATGGAATCATACAGTATGTATTGTTTTTGTTTGGCTGCTTTCACTCAGCATAATTATTTTGAGATTCATGTATGTTGCATGTATCAATAGTTCATTCCTTTTTATTGCTGAGTAGTACATTGTATGGATATACCACAGTTTGTTTATCCTTTCACCTGTTAATGAACATTTAGATGATTTTCAGTTTTTGGCTATTATAGTAAAGCTACTGTAACATTGATGTATTATATAAATCTTAGTTTGGACATATTTAATTTCTCAAGTAGATATGTAGAAATGGAATCACTAGTTCGTATGGTAGGTGTATGGTTAACTTTTAAAGAAAATTCTTAATGGTGTTTCCCCAAAATTCCAAACGAGTTTTATCACTTTTTATTCCCACCAGAGGTGTATTAGAGTTCCAGTTGCTCCACATTCTCATCAACACTTGATATAGTCCATCTTTTTATTTTAGCCACTCTAATTACGTGTAGCTGTACCTCATGGTGATATACTTCCCCGATGACTAATGATGTTGAGCATCTTTTCATGTGCTTGTCATCTATGTATCTCCTTTGTCTGCTCAAAATGTCTGTTCAAATCTCTTGCTTGTTTTCACTGAGTTGTTTTCTTACTATTGAGTTTTGAAATTTTCTTATATATTCTGGATACAAGTCCTTTATCAGATATATGACTTGGAAATGTCTTCTCCCGGTATTTGGCTTGTCCTTTCATTTGCTTATTGGCGTCTTTCAAAGAGGAGACGTTTTTAAATTTCGATGAAGTCCAGTTTATCAGAGTTTTCTTTTATGGATTGTGCTTTTGTTGTTGCATCTGAGAAATCTTTACCTACCTGATCCAAGGGGGTAACTGGTTTTAAAGCAGGCCTAACATGCAGGATCTGGGGACTGCTCCGTGGACCCTTCAGATGTGAGCTACAAGGGTGGCCTTGCCTCATCGCATTTCAACCCTGTACCACATCCCTCCAGCCTGTCAGAAACCTTCTCCCAGGGAAAAGGAAAACTCATAGTCTCTCTGCCAACTCCTCCCTTGATGATTCTCTTCCCCAGACAAGAGAAGCCCTTCCCACACCCAGGGAGAGGGGAGGGTCAGTGCTATGTTCGCCAGGCAGTGCTGCTTGGTGGTTAAGTATCCTTTCAATCCAGGCCTCCTAATTTATTACCTGTAAGACCTTGAGCACTTCTCCCAAACTCAGTATCTTCCTCTGTAGAATGGAGGAGATATGGATCAACTTCTAGGTTGTTGCAAAGATTTAAAAAGTTAGGGCAGGGCATGTGGCTAATATTGTCATCAGCTTAGCTGGTACTACAAATCTTGGCTGGAGGTCCTAACCAATCTTTACTCCACTTTTATCTTTTCAGACGGATATTGGTTTTATCTACCATTCTCCAGGTAAGTAAACAGTTTTTGCAAATATGTGTGGCTTCTGAGAAAATTCAGGCCAGGTGTCAAAATGTCACAAAATTGCTGCACATTCAACACATGGGGGAGAATATTTGAGGGTGTGAATTATTTTCTGTACTTGAAAATATCTTACTGTACTTCATGGTATTTTATATAAAAACATCTTTCTCTTCAAAACTGAAGGAATCCCTTTGGGTCAAATGCTAATCTTTTAATGCAACCTTGGGCTGACTTTCTATTTTTCTTTTTAAAATTTATTTATTTGAGAGAGAGAGAAACATCAACTTGATGTTCCATTTATTTATGTCTTCATTCATTGATTGTTGTATGTGCCCTGACTGGGGATTGAACCTGAAACCTTGGTGTGTCCGGACGGCGCTCTAACCAACTGAGCTACCAGGCCAGGGCCAGCCTCAGGCTGACTTTCTATTTTTGAGGCCACTGGGGAATTGAAGTTTGAGTAGAGGTTGCCTCTGTGGCCAGGCCATCACATACATGCCAGGTTGAGGTTGGGACTTAAAGCTGGGGAGAATTCTTGTCTTTCTCATACCAGGACAGTAACAAAGCTGTAGGTTCTCAGAATGGGAAAGAGGGTCCCTATTTTTTAATGGCAATAGCTGGCAGCCTGGTGAGTACGCTCTCTTGTCTTAATGGTAGGAGTGACTCTCATTTTGCTGCTACTGGATAGCAATCAGAATATATGAGATGTGTTTCCACACCCCTCTCCCACGCAAACAAAGACTGGTTTCAGGGGAGAGGGCTGGAAGCTGGAAGCTGGTCTCCCATGGACCCTGTGCCTCTCCAGGTCATGCACTCCAGAGGAAATGGTTAGGCCTCTGCCAGCCAAATGAACCGAACAATGGTGTGAGAGGCTACCTGAAGGTCACCATCTGTGCCCTCGGTGTGGGAGACCAGGCCCCGGTGAGGCTGCCCCCTACACCCAAGTAACATTTCCTACCTGGCTGCTTCTATGGGGCACTCCTGAGCTTCCAAGTGACCATGGACCTTCATATGCTTTCATCTGTCCACTGTGTCACTTCTGAGTTGTCCACTTACTCCTCCCGGTGGCCTTGGCCGTGACCTCCCTGTGACTCTGACCCTGTTAGCTCTCTGGTCTCTCCAGGTAGATCAAAAGCCGCCCTATGGGGATGATGACATCAAAATTCATATCTACAAGTCAACGATGGTCCCGATGAAGAAGGCCCACTTACAGTTCTACATCTACTGCGCGGAGGACCTTCACCTTAGTGAGTCAGGGTGGCGGAAGGAAGCCACCCTGAGGAGCCCTACGCAGTGGCACCCTAGGTTCCCATGGGGCTTCCCTATTCCATGTGGACACTGACCTAAGATCTGGGGTGGAAGGAGAGGGTGAAACTAAAGCTCATCAATAGTAGTTTTATAGAGGCCCCATACACACCCTTTAAAATGGCCGTATCTCCCTAACTTGTCTCTGATGCTGGGGTGCAAGGTTCACTATGCCAGCCCCCATCCCTCTGCCATTATGGGTCATGACACAGAACAGCACACACAGAGACAGTGAAAATGGGAGGGGTCTGCCCAGGGGGCGCCAAACCACATTATGGGGAAGGGTTTTAAGTTATCCTGTCACCTCTACATCTCCTCCTCCTCAAAAAAAAATTTTAAATGCTCTTGTCTCAGAAATCTTTTAACTTCTTGTCCACAGAGAAACACCACCTAGTGAGCCCAATGTTGGAGGTGGAACTAATTGGAGAAAAGGTAAGTGTAGAAAGGGTGTGTATGTGGCTTAGAGAAATGGTTACCTAGAAAAAAATAGTGTAGGGGTAAGGCTGGATTGGTAGGCCGGACCCCAGGAGTCATCTCCCAGTTCTTCCATCAAAGGGCCATGTGATCCCACTGATAGGAACTCTGTGAAGGTGGGGACCGTGGCTTAGCCACTGTCTCCCAGAGCTGTGCCCAGTGCCCAGCGTGGAGACGATGCCCCCTGAAAACCAAAGTCATTAAATCCAGCCCGTGTATAAGAGGAGAGGGCTTAGTGTTCACCTTTTGAAGGAGGGAGTACCAAAGGGTTGGTGGACATGTCTTAGAACCATCGCTCTGAGGGTGGTTTGTACTCTGGATCTAGGTGAGGTGATCTTGAGTGGTCGATGACACATATTTTTCAAGATTTTTAATATTTATGTGTTTTTCTGAGTGTGTATTAAAAGTTTAATCAGTCCAACTACTCTTTGAGTTCTCTGACATGACTGTTTAAGGCTAGATTTAGAAATGCTGCTGCTGCCGACGGAGATGTTTTGATCACTTTTCTGTTGGGATCTTAGAGTTCATCTAACACAATCTAACGTGTTAAGGAATCTGGACCTGGGCAGGTGCCCAAAGGACTAAAGTTGTAGCCGATGAGCAGTCGTCCAAGTGCTTCAGGCCAGGGCATCCCATGATCAGCCCTGGGCTGCAGACGGCATCCTTCTGTGGGCTGGACTGGCAGGGCTGGAAGGTGAGGCCGTGGAGAAAGCAGGGGACAGGCTGGCACTGACATGGCTTTGGTATGTTCCCAGCTGAATACACAGGTGAAGACCCAAACTGAGAACCCGATCTGGAACCAGGTCCTGACCGTCCATACTCAGGTATTGCCATCCTGCCTTGCCTGCCCTCCTCCCTGCCCATGAACAGGAGGGGTGTCCAGGTGTTGTGTGTGTAGAGGTGAGGAAGGAGGGCCAGGAAGCACACAGGGAGGAGGGCTCCACCTGGCAGGGAGCACAAGGAGGCCCAAGGCTATGATGGAAACCCTTATTATATCCAGTATTAATGAGTGGGCCATACAACTGAACATTCCAGAAAACTTACACGTGTCCTTTCACCTACATTAAACAACAAAACAATCACTTTAAAGACTCATTCTAAACTGTATTACCTCCTAGGCCGAATGCCCTGAACAGAATGACAACTCTTTGTTGGTGGCCTAGAGGTACCACGGGCCTATGGTTATTATTCTGGGCTCCATGTGGTTGGACTACTGTTCCTACACTAAATGCCCAAGATGCTCTTCTTTGCGGGGTTCTGTGATCTGGTTTTTATAGCCTCGCAGTCCTTCTTGGCCACTTGTCAATGGTGTGGATGCCAGTTCTCTTCAGGCCCTGGAAGCTAGACTTCCAGGACCAAGGTAAAACGAGAGAAGGTGATTCTGAGAACTTGAGCACTCTCATGAGCGCAAATGCACAAAGCTCTAGGTGCCATCTATTTGGCCACCCAGAGAGTGCTTGGGCTCCTTATCTTATATCTGTGTGACATGTAACCAGCTAAAGAGCTCCCTTCTTCCCTCTTTTGGACCCTCCTCCTTGCTTCTAGAAGCTTCCCCAGTCTGCCTGCTGGTGAGTCATCATTTTTAACCATTCCTCATAATCCCTACCTTCTTAGGTGATTTTATAGACTCTTAAAGTAGGAAGAGAGCTTAGAGGGGCCAAGTTCATCCCCTATCCTTGCCAAGCTCACTCCCACCTGTCCCTGGCTATGATGAGGCAGGACCCTCAGAAGCTCAGCTGCCATCAGGCTCAGAGCCAGTGACACAGGCCAGGCCCTCCTTCATCCGTGAAAGAGGCCTTCCAACCTTTGAAGGTGTCCAAGCGTCCCCTGGACCCTCACCCATTTTTGGCAGGACACTGTGTCCAGGAGTGGGACCACTTAGATGCAGGCCTGATTATTACTGGCCCTCTAGAAATGCAGCAGACATGTGAACCTCACTCTGACATGGCAGGTTGACCACACAAACAGTAGCATCTGAGGCCAGCTGGTCAGGCCTCAGCAAGGCAGACTGCAGGGGGTGCCCGGCTGAAAATGCGGGGGATGCCACTTTATAGTCCAGAGGCCTCAAGGCAGGAGGGGAGTTAATACAAGGAACTGGGAAAGGGAAGGAAGATTTTCAACAGGGTGGCTGGAAAGGTGGTTTAGCCATGAACTTGAATTTGGTGGATTCTAACTTTGGAAGACCTGGGTGCCTGACGGTGCTCACGTCTCCACTTCCAACGTCCTTCCTTAACCTGGGCAATTTCCTCATTTCTTAATAGCCAGCTGCTCAGCTGGAAAGCCCTTCCCCTACCTCTCCTTGGCCTCCTGAGGACCCATGCAAGTGGGGGCCCTAAAGTTTAGGGCTCAGAAGCTCCCATGGAAATCCACCTTGGCTGTAGTTAATGGCTCACTGGGAACTGAGCCAGGCATTGGACAAGGACCCAGGATTTCCAAGTGCTTGTGGTCTCTGCAAGGCCTGGACCCTCCAAGCACCAACACGTGCCCATTGTGTCTCTTGTCCCCCCTCCCCGCAGCTGCCCTGCCTCTCCAGCTACATCAAGTTCAGAGTCTTGGACTGGTGAGCAACTGGGTGGAGGCTGGAAAACATGCCTGGAGGGAAAAACGGAGCCTGTCAGGGGCTCAGCCAGAAGTATGTGTTTCTCTCCAGCCCCAAAGGCAGCTGCTCGGGTGAAATCGGGACTGTCAGCCTGGTCCTCAACCATATCTCATCCACCGGAGCAGAAGTAGAAGGCAAGCAAGCCCCCCAGCCCCCCTCCTGTGCCTCTCCCACCTGGCCGCCATCTCACCAGCTCTTCTTGCAGGGATGTACTCTGGCTTCCTACCCTGCTTTGGCCCCAGCTTCCTGACTCTCCATGGGGGTAAAAAGGCCCCTTTCCGGATCCAAGAAGAAGGCGCTGTAAGCCTCTCATGTCAGCTCTAGGGAACAGAGGAGGTAAAACTGACCATGTGTGAGGCACTGGGGCCTGGGAGATGCCTGGGGAGGCCCTGGCCCTGGTTTCTGTCCGCTACATGCTGGTGAACATGAAGCCTGCGCTGAAGGGCTACGGCTGTGTGACCTGTGCTGCGGCACAAGAAAGGAACAGAAGGAGGGCACTGAGATGGGATCCTGGGTAAGATTTTCAACAGGTGGAAAGGACCTGTGAGACCGAAGAAACAGTAAATGTAGAACAGCTCTGGGTCATTTAGGCCTGGCGAAGCCAAGTTCAACTGGCTTGCACGAGGCAATGGGGCTGGGGAGGGCTGTGCGCAGGCAGAAACAGGCGCCAGGGCCTCAGCGCACAGAAAGGCCCACCCCTCATCTGCTCGGCCACCCAGCCCAGGCCTCTTTCTTTCCCACGCAGTCAGGTTCCCAGGCTGGGACCGTGGTCCCCAAGCTTCTACCAGGTGCAGAAGGGTTGGGAGATGGGCCCGCTCTGTTTCTCATCCCCTTTCTCCGTTTTCCTCCCTAGATTATCCCCAGCTCTGTGAAGGATGGTTTGGCGTATCGAGGCCGGATCTTCCTGGAGTTAGTTACCCGCATCACGACCCATCACAACACTAAGATAGGGGACCTCTCCCAGGAAGTGACCAATGTAGAGGTAACCCAGCAAGAAGGGAGCCCTCTGCCCGCCCCCATCCGTGGCTGCAAGCTCAGCATGGCGATGGGTGCATGAGGAAGGATGGTCGCCAATCCTCCTGAGTCTTTACTGAGCCGCTAGAGCATCCTGCTGTTGCCCAATCCCAGGTGGCCAGGGGATCCCGTAAGGACAAGATAAGGCTTCGGTTTAATAAATGTGTCATCTGGTTAGGGAGAAAGATTCTAAGAAGCATCCTAAGGAGTCTGGATTTCTCCCTGAAGACAGGGGAGGGCCGCTGAGGCAGGGAAGTGTTGAGAATAGTTGGGAGGCAGTAAGGTGAACCACTCACTCAAGAGAAACAGGGTACAGTCGCAGGGGAAGAGAGCCGGACAGGAGGGGGCTGGTTCCAGAGTCCCTTTGGAAGCAGAATGATCAGAGCCACCAACTAACTGGACATAAGAAGTGAGGTTGAATCCCCTAAGCTGATGCCCATTTTCTGCCTCCGGTGGCAAGGTGGTTGGGTGGCTTGCATCATCCTGGGCTTCTTGAAGGGGGAGCAGGTCTGGGAAGTTGATGAACCCCACTTTGACCTGTGCTTGTGAGACATCCATAAAGACCAGTCTTGAGGCTGCTGGACAGATGGGTGTGCCATCAGCGCAGCAGGATCTGAACCGTGGTTATGGAGGACTTGCCCAGGGTGGGTAGGTGAAGTGAAAAAAAGGAGCTGAACCTGGATGCCACAGCCTAATGCAGGAGGAGGAGGGGCTTGTAGAGGGCCCACTGGGGCAGCCTGTGGAGGGGAGAGCTGCAGAAAGGAGCCGTCAGGTATCTGAATGTGGCAGAGAGAAAGGGGGAGGACTCACAAGTGTCCCCTGGTTATTGGGAAGGCTCCGTCTGGTAGCCTTGGGTCAGGAGAGAAGCCAGGCGCCATAGGTCGGAGGGAGAAGTTGCAGGCGGTGCACAGAGACAAATGTGTAGCAACTTGGCTGGAAAGTGGAGGGAAACAAGGTCAGGTGGTAGCTCAGGGCAGAAGGGGGGCTAAGTTTAAGGCCAGGAAACCTGAGCCAGGGAACAGACTGGGAATAAGCCAGAGTAGGGCAGAAGCTGGTAACAGAAGCAAGAGAGGAGCTACCATGATGGAGAGAGGAACCGAGCAGACAGGAGGCAGGGTGGGAAGACAGGGCTTGAGAAGGGGCAAGAGAGGATGTGTGAGTGTGTGCCGCCTCTGCCACGCACCCCTGCCCACACTTGGTCTCATCTGAGGAGGGCAGTTAGGCCAACAGGAGGGGGTGGGGTGGCCCAACATGGGTAGAGGCGGGTGGCCTAACCACGGCCTAGCCTGACCGGGGAGAAGCCCCCCTGCCCAGTTTCAGGAAGGGAAGGGACCAGCCTGGCTGGGTGGAGGGGCCAGGTGATGGAGGTCCTGGAAAGAGCTGCCTCCTTGGTCAGCCAGGTGAGCTGGAGTCAAGGCAAAGCTCTGAGCGGGGTGGGTATCAGTGATGGTCTAGCTCAGCCTGAAGAGCGGCAAAGATGGTTTCTGAAAGAAACGGCTCACCTCATCCTTGCCCCCCGCCTGTCTTCATAGCCTTGTTCATCCTTATGTTCTGGGGGCACGGGGGTTATTGTTTTAGAAACAACAGAACCGCCAAAAGTATGGGCTCTGCGTCATCTTCCTTTCCTGTACCATGATGCCCAACTTCAAGGACCTGATCCAATTCGAGGTCAGCATCGGCCACTATGGAAACAAGATGGACCTGAATTACAAGCCTCTCATCTCAACTACACAGTACAGCCCAGTGATATATGACGGTAACAGTCAGACCCAGCCAGGAGGTGGAGAGCACCCCCTGCATGCGGGCTCTGGGCCTTTCTACGGGTATTAGCTCATGGGACACTCACAGGCACGGTTAACCCACGTTTCACACATTAGGAAAGTGCGCTTCAGGGAGGGGAGTGCCAAGCATTGCACAGCACTGGGCGGGGAGCCCACAGAGCTGAGACCAGGTCTTGACTTCAAGTCTTCTCCATACGACAACGCCCGCAACCCCATCTTCTCCGCCACTACCCTCGACCACCCCGTCCATCCACACAACTTCCACCCACTGCTTGCCTGCCTGCCTGCTATCCATCCATTTGTCTCTTAGTCCAATATCTACCTATTGGACACCCATACTGGGCACTAGAGAGAAATGGTCCTCAAATCGTGGTGTTTGGGCAGCAGCAGCAGCATTGCCCGGGAACTGTGAGAAATGCAGATTCTTGGCCCCACCCCACTCCTACAGAAACAGAATCTCTGGGGATGAGGCCCTGGGCCTGTGAGTAACAAGCCCTCCAGGCGATTCGGATGCTGCTCAAGTTGGTGACCTGCTGCCCTGGAGGAGTAGGTCCCCCTTTCACCTTCATTGGCTTCACCATCTCATCACCTGGGAGGCTTTCCATTCATTTCTCTTCTCTGTCTGTTCTTTTAAGAACAGCTTTATTGAAATATAATTCATAATACCATACAATTTATCCATGTAAAGTAGGCAGTTCAGTGGTTTTCAGTATATTCACAGAACTGTGCCTCATCACCATGGTCCATTTTAGAGCATTCATCACCCCAGAAGGAAATACTGTACCCACCAGCAGTCGCTTTCTTTTCTCCCCCATCCCCCAACCTTAGGCAACCACTAATCCACTTTCTGTCTCTACAGAGTTTCCTATTAGGGACCTTTAACATACATGGAATCATACAATATGGAGAAAGACTGGCTGCTTTAATTTGGCATAATGCTTTACTTATTTTTGTTAATTTTTAAATTTTTATTCACTTTTAGTAGTGACATGCTATGAAAAAACTTGGCACACCATCATAGTCACTTTCAAGGGAAGACTTTAGTGTCTGGCTGTGTAAACTACTCGTAAAAAGAATGCAGTATTCAGCCATGCCTTCCACTTGTTTCTAAGTTATAAAATAAATATACACAAAGTATATAAACACATATAGTTTAAAGAAGAAGAATAAAAGTAGTACCCATGTGTTTACCACTCAGATTAGAAGAGAGAAAATTGTCAGCCTCTTAGAAGTCCCCCATGTATTCTTCCCAGATTCATCTACCCAAGAAATAACCATGATCCTGACTCTTATTATATTTATATCCTTGCTTTTTTATATATATATATATTTTTATTGATTCTTAGAGAGAGAGGAAGGGAGAGGGAGAGAGAGAGAAAAAAACAACAACCATCAATGTGAGAGCAAAACATGGATCAGTTGCCTCCTGCATGCTCCCAGGGATCCAACCTGCAACCGGGGCATGTGCCCTGACTGGGAATCAAACCAGCAACCTTTTGGTGCATTGGGCAATGCCCATCCAACTGAGCCACACCAGCCAGAACCACTCCCTTGCTTTAAAAAAAAATTTGACCACCTATGTGTGCAGTCCTAAAGAGCATACTATAGATGCATTTTAGACCAGTGGAAATTTTCAGTCTGTACTCATCTGTTTTTGTATCCTTTGTTCAATATTAAATTTTTTTATATTGGTATTAGAAGCTGAAGTTCATTTTTATTTCTGTTTATATTCCACTGTATGATTACAACCTTCCTTGAAAGTTTGGTAGAACTCACCTCTAGTTATGTGGCATATGTACACATTTAGGTTGTATCTTTTTTTTTACTATAATAATTTTGTTATAAACATTCTTATATATGTCTCCTGGTCACAAGAGTGAGACTTCCATCCTGGCCAGTGTTTCCCAGTGGTTAGAGCATCAGCCCACACACCAAAGGATCTCGGGTTCGATTCCCAGTCAAGGGCATGTACCTGGGTTGAAGGTTCAATCCCTGGCCCCATGTGTGGGAGGCCATCAATAGACGCACCTCTCTCACATTAATGTTTCTCTCTCTTCCTCTCCCTCCCTCCCTCCCACTCTCTCTAAAAATCAATGGAAAAAATATCCTCAAGTAAGGATTAACAACAACAAAAAAGGGTGAGACTTCCTCTAAATTTCATACCCAGGAGTGGAAAAGAAATTTAAAGCAAAAGTAATTCTACCAAATTACACTTCCATCAGCGTGGCATGAGAATCCCTACTACTCTGTATTCTCACCAATACTTTATGTTGTCCTGCCTTTTAATTTTTTGCCAACCTGGTGAATGCATTTCTAATTGAATTTATTGAGATGACCTTGGTTAATAAATTATATATAGGGTTCAGGCGTACAATCCTATAATACATCTGTATATTGTATGGTGTGATGTAAAGTGGTATCTCATAAGACCTTAATTTGCATTTTCCTGTTTATAAATGATGAGTGTCTTTTCATGTTTCCAAACATTTGTTTTTACTCATCTGTAAAAGCCTATCAGTCCCTTTTATCCATTATCCTATTTGGCTGTATTTTTCTCATCAACTTGCATATTATTTTTTCTGAGAACAATCTTTTATCAGATGTGTGTGTCATAAAAATATTCTCTAAGTTGGGGCTTTTCATTCTCTTAATGGTGACTGTTTCTTAATTGAGGTGTTATTTACAAACAATAAGATTTTAAGTATACAGTTAAATGGATTTTGACGCATACATACATCTGTGTATCCACCATGGGTAGAAAAATAAATCACCCCAGAAAGCGGCCAAGTTGCCCTTCTCAGCCAGCCTCCCAAGCCCTGGGACATTAGTGCTGTGATGGCTGTCGCTACAGGTTCCCTTTGCTTACTCTCCAGCTTACCAATGAAATCGTACATACTGTACTTTATGACTTCTTTGGTTCAGCCAGTGTTTTAGATATTCATCTGTGCTGTTGCATATATCGGCATGTTGTTCCTTTTTATTTCTGATAAATATAGGATATTTATTTCTGATAATTACAGGATATTTTTTCCATTGCTTTTTCAGAGAGTGGAAGGGAGAGAGAGAAACATCAATGTGAGAGAGAGACATCAATTGGTTGCCTCCAGCACATGCCCCGACCCGGGCTGGGCCTCAAGCCTGCAACCAAGGTACATTCCCTTAGACAGAATTGAACCCAGGACCCTTCAGTCTGAGGGCGGACACTCTAACCACAGAGCCAAACTGCCTAGGGCTTGCCCACTTTTAAACTGGGTTGCTTGTCTTCTTCTTATTAAGTTATAAGAGTTCTTCATATATTCTGGATACAAGTCTTTTATCATATATATGACTTGCAAATAGTCCATGGCTTCTTTTTTTTTCAACTTTATTTGACAATCAGCAGTTAATTATCATCCACATTAACTGTTTGCAGATTTTTAGGCATTCATCGGTTGACTCTTGTATGTGCCCTGAGCAGGGAACAAACCCGCAACCTTGGCACATTGGGACGACACTCTAACCAACTGAGCTACCCGGGCAGGGTGCTTTTCAGTTTCTTAATGGTGTCTTCTGATATGCAAACATTCCATTTTTGAAGAAGTCCATTTTTTTTTTTTCTTAAATGGTGTCACATCCAAGAATTATTTGCCTAACCCAAGGTCATGTAGGTTTCCTCCTCTTTTTTTCTTCTAAAGTTTTACAGTTTTAGTTCTTACATTTAGCTCTGTGATCCATTTTTGAATTCATCTGCATTAGCCACCCATCTTTCCCCAGCACCGTTTGTTAAAAAAACTGTCCCTTTCCCATTGTTCCACTGTTCAGGGTTCCACAGCTCTAGGTTTTCTTCTGTGTCTGTCATTTTCTCCCCGATCATTTTGGACTCTTTGTTTTATTTGGTCACTTTTCCTTTTTCCGTGCTTCTCACTGCACGGTCTGCAAGGCCTGACCTCCCCGCGGCTGGCGTGTCCACTCTCTCTCTTTTCTGCGATGCTTTTGCTTTGCTCTGACTTGTTTTCTGCCTCCTGCTGGCTCCCGTTTGCTCACCTGACTGCCGAGCTGCCTCTGGGAGCGTGTTTTTGCTGGCTCGGCTGCTCTCTGCTCCTGTCAAGCTGGGCTCCCTGCCGCCTGTCTCGGTCCTCGGTCTCCGCAGGTGGCTTCTGCTGCACTCCAGCCCTCGGGGCCCCTGGGGCAATCACAGCTTGCTTTTGGCAGCCCTTAGGTGCACTTGGAGTCTGAAGATTATATCTGTCTCCTTGTTTTGCTGAAAATGGAGTTATTTCCCTTCTTGTTGCTTTTGTACACCATCCAAGAGAACAGGAAAATTGCCGTCTGGTGTCCTCATGCTCCTTCCTATCTGACAGCCCCAGCCTGGGGTCGCTGCTTGTTGATCTTTCTAACTATCCCCTCACGGCCAAGGTCTAAAGCTGGTGCCTTCCAACAATTCTGAAAAATTATAAAATACTTTTCTTTGAAAGTTACCCCTTCCCCTTGCCTCTTGTATCTCCTTCTCGAATTTGCTCTATCATCTGCGGGACTTCTCACTTTATTCTTCACATTTCTAAATCTCTCTTCCGTATTTGTCATCTCTCTGGGCTGCATTCTGCATAATTTCTTCTAGGTCTTCCAGGAAAGGCCTTAGTTGGCCATTTTATTTCAAACTTTTTGGCAGCCCCTGTCCCCCTTCTCCACATTCTTCCACATAGCATTGTCCATCATTTGACACACTGTATTTTATGTATTTATTTTGTCTTCTTTGTCCGCGCTCTCTTTTAAATTCTTAAGTAAACTTTATATGTGAGCATGGCATGTCTATGGAAAAGTACACAAACCAAAGCGTCCAGCTCGGCAACGCAAACATACCCATGTCACAGCATCCAGACCACGAAACAGTCTCAGCATCCCAGAGGCCCCTCGGCCCCCTCCCCCACCCCTCCAGGGGCAATCGCTCTCTTGGCCTCCAGTTCGTTTTGTCTGGTTTTGAACTTTACGTAAGAGAAATCATATAGTATGCATTCTCGTGTGTCTGGCATCTTGTGCCCATTATTTCATGTGTGAAGTGCATTCACAGCCCCAGATGTTGTTGAGAATAGTCATAGCTCATTTATTCTCATTGCCGTGTAGTACTCCATGGTGCAAATATAGCGTAATTTATGTATCCCTTCTACTTCTGAGGGAGGTTTTAGCGGTTTCAAACCTGGGGCTGTTACGAATGGCGCTGTTATGAACATTTTTCTGCATGTCTCTTGATGATGCTGTGCGTGCCTTTCCATTGGCTGTACACCTAGGAGCAGAATTCCTGGGTTAGAGAGAGTGTATCGGTTCTAAGCTGCTCATTTGTTTGGAACTTTCTTTGTGGACTCCTTTGGGACTTGACTAAAGTTTCATGCCCCAGAGAAGGTTTGCCTTTTTTTCCTCCAGTGACTTGGGGGGCTGCCAACCAGAGACCACTTTACATTTTCTGCAGACCCTACAGGTGGCATGAATGTAGAATGCAACCTGCATGAGGCCTCATTTGTGGTTATGAATTTGGGGGAACATTTTCCCATCCCCTCCCCCAGAGCCATGCTGGAGACAGGTCTGTTTTCTCACTGTGTTCTTCCGTGTGGTGGATTATCTTTCGTTGACTGAGTGCTTAGGCTTTGAAGTACCAGCTTTGCGTGGCATATTAATTTGCTAGGGCTGCCATAGCCAAGCACCACAAACTCGGTGGCTTATAACAACAGGAACTTATTCTCTCACAGTTCTGGAAGCTAGACATTTGGAACCAAGGTGCTGGCTTGAGCAGTTCCTTCCGAGGAATCTGAGGGAGGGTGTTCCAGCCCCCTCTCCCAGCTTCTGGTGGTTGCCTGCAATCTTCAGTGTTCCTTGGCTTGTAGACAAAACATTTCATCTCTGCCTCTGTCTCCCTCTGCCTCTGTGTCTTCATAAGGCCACCATCTCTCTGTGCCTCTCTCTTCTTATAAATACACCAGTCATATTGGGTTAAGGACCCAGCCTACTCCAATATGACCTCATCTTAACTAATTGCAGTTGCATGAATAACCTTATTTCCAAATGAGGTCACATTCCGAGGTACTGGCTGTTAGGACTTCAACACCTTTGTAGGGGACATAATTGAACCCATTTTGGTGGTTTCCAACCTGGGGCTATTACGAATGGCCCCATGGGGTCTCCTGTTAGACTCCCCACTGTGGGCAGCACTAGGCTTTCTTTCCTGACCACTGGGCCCTGGCAGCTGCCAAAAAGAAATGCAAGTTCTCCAAGATTTGCCAGAAACTCAGGATAGAAGCCAGCTTTGCTTCTACTTGCCTCAGACTTTCTGCTTTTACTTTTTTTTTTGGCTTCCGTGGGTTTCTTCCTTTTGCATCAACAATACACCTCAGAAAAAAGATCCCTTACGTTTTATCTAGGTTCCCCCCTCATTTCAATAAGGAACATCGCCAGGGAACCCAGCCTGCCACCCCATCATGGACTTTATCTATACTTGCCCCGACCCCCCTCCTCCACACTGGCAGGACCTTTATGTCAGATGTCTGCCTACCCCAGCCAGACCCTGGGTCTCCTCCTGAACCCAGGCCCACTTCTCCGCTGCCTTGCAGACCACCCAGAGGTAGGCCCGCCTCGAGCCATGCCTCTTGCCTTGACATCTCGCCTGAAGTTAAGGGCACCGGGCTGTGGAGCTAGTCGCCTGCCTTATGACCTCCTGGGGGTCCACTACAGGCAAACCACTTCCCACCAACAGCCTGGATTTTCCCACCTGCACACTGGGGCTGTGAAAGGCTGCCTGACACACTGAGCCCGATCCATACCATTAGGGCGACCCACCCTCTGGTGGAAGGGTCCAGTTGGGATTATCAGCAGATGGCATCTGTGAGGAATGAAGTAGCTCGGTGAAGGTCCTCTGAGGGACACACTGAGACCTCCCAAAGCCCCTCACACACCGCCCCCTGTGTCTCTGTGTCCCAGGGAACATCTACCATTATGTGCCCTGGTACAACACCAAGCCGGTTGTGGCCGTGACCTCCTACTGGGAGGATGTCAGCTTCCGCATGAGCTGCCTCAACCTTCTCCACTTCACTCGGGACCGCCTGGTGAGTGGTGCCAGAGTGGGGACAGGGAGGACCTGGATCACCGAGGGGAGACTTGGGATAATGAGGCACAGTCAGGGGAAACCGGTAACTTGGTGACACCTTCCACCCCGATTGAGGTGCAAGTGCCTGAAGCGGGCTGGGCTCTGAAGACACCGAGCTGAGTAAACGCTGTCCCCGTCTCCAGCACCAGGGACTCAGACAGGCACATACTCTGCCGCGCAACCAGGGCTTCAGTGGACACACAGGCACGAGAGCCATCAGGGCAGAAACTGGGGTGGGGCGGGGGAGGGGAAGAGAACATAGTCAGGCGGTGTTCGAAAGGAGGTGACATTTGAGCAGAGTCCTAAAGAATGAGTTTGCTGGGGGTGTAGTGGGGTTCAGAGAAGGGAACAGTGTGCAAAGCCATGGTGATGTGAAGTTTGGGGGGGGGGCATGGAAGTGAGTGAAAATAAGGCCAGAGAAGCTGGGAGGGGTCAGATTGCAAAAGGTCTTAGGAATCTGTTAAGGAAGGAAGCCACTGCACAGCTTTAGGCAGGAAAGCCACCTGGTGTCTCCACCTCAGATGTGACTTTATTGCACATACGAAGGGAGGCCCAGCACCNTAGCTTTAGGCAGGAAAGCCACCTGGTGCCTCCACCTCAGATGTGACTTTATTGCACATACGAAGGGAGGCCCAGCACCAGGATCTGTGCTTCTCCTCGGTCCCACCTATCCTGGCTCCTTCCTGCTACCCATTTCTTCTGTTGGGTAGTGGGGAGGGTGCATGGGATCCTAACCCTGCAAGAGCATGTGACAGCTTTGGACTGACATCTCCAGGTTGCCCCCCAAAGGTTCCCAAGTCTTGATTAAAATGTCTTGGGTGCATCAGCCCTATAGCCGGCCTGTGTGATCCATGCTCATCTGCCCCTTTTCTCCTGCTGGGCAGAAAGCCAACCTGGATACCCTGAAATCTCTGAGGAACCCGAGGGACCCCGCCCTGAACCTCCAGTGGGAGAAACTGCTGAGGGAGCTGGTGGAGGACTGCAAGTAGGAGCGGGCACCACATCTGAGCTGGGGCTTCAGACCAGCGCCCTTCCCCACCCCCACCCCCACCTCCTCAAAACTCTCCCTGGCTTGAGACCCAAACAACAGAGCAGCTTCTCCTCTCTCATCAGGCCTCACAGAAAGTGGCCTTGACCTTCTCCATCTCCCCCGCCTGCGCCCCTGCCCAGAACATTGTCCGTGCTGTCCCCACATGAACACCTGGTGCTCCCACCAAACCAAGCCTCTCTGTGTTTCCAGACAAGCCCTGCCTGTCCCAGCCCCACACCGTTCCCCTAATGCTCCTCTCCACAACACCTCTTCAGGGCTCTAACTGTTCTGGAAGATTCCTTGTAAGGCCTCTGCCTGCCCACACCCCCCTTGGATCCCTACTCCTACACCTCAGGGTTTGGTTGGCTCACACCCCTCTCCAAGAGGTAGTCCTTGAGCACAGGCCTGGCTCACTGCAGGCACTGGTAGGGTGGGAGGGGGACAGGTGAGAAATGGGCTAGGCCCACAGTGAGCAGGCTTCCTCAGGAGGGGTGGGAAGGGCTCCCTGCTTCAGGCCAGCAGGGGCTAGGAAGGGCACACTGGCCTAAGACAGGCCTGGAGGTCATGACATGGCCAGCCCCCTTCTTCCCTGTCCTGGCCACAGGCGCCCTCTACCCTGCATTTACGATCAGCCCAAAGCCACCAACCTGGACAAGGAGAGATGGCAGCTCCGCAACCTCCTCCTGATGGAACTGGCCCAAAAGGCCCAGGTAGCCCAGCCTAGGGACATGGTGGCCACCGCAGAGGACTGGCTCTACCGTCTCAACACCATGCTCCCTGAGGTGAGCGCTGCACACACTGGCCAGGGAGCAGGCCTCGGAGCCTGCGCACAGGCCTGACTCTCCTGCCTCCGCAGCCCCAGGTGAGCCTCCCAGACGTGATGATCTGGCTGATGGCCAAGGACCAGCGAGTGGCCTACGCCCATGTGCCCTCCCACAGCATCCTATTCTCCCGAACCGGGGCCCTGCACTGTGGCAAGTTTTGTGGGAAGATGCAGACCCTCCTCCTGCAGGTGCGGAATTGGGAGTCCTTGGGCAGCCCCAATCCTCAGGAGGAGAGGCCCAGAAACACCTCAGGGAGACTCCCTGAGCTCTGGGGCAGCTCCCATGAGCCTCCCTGAGGGCCTGCCACTGCCAGCCGCCTGGGCCCGTTACCAGGTGAATGGGGTGTAACAGTCTCCAGAGGAAGGAAGGCTGCATCAGCATGGGGCTGACGTCAAGTCCATGTCCCTAATAAGTGTTCCCCAGCTGTGCCTCCTCCATCATCTTCACACCACACTTGGTTCAGTGCCTTGTTCTCTCTCCCCTGGACCACATTTGGGGGCAATCCAAAATATTTAATGCCTCCAAGGTTTGGGCACCAGCCCATCATATCATATATAAGCCATAAATGAGGCTGATGACCACTGCCCCCACCCTGACTACAGCCCCTGCTTCCAGCCCTCCTCCACAGAGGCAGGTGGGGGGCACGTACCTGGCTCCCCACTACGTCCTGGAGAAGGTTCAACCTCCCTGGCCTGGTCCTAGCCACCTCTCCTCCTCAGCCCTCTCGGTCCCCATACTCTCAACAGTCAGGCCATGCTGGGCTCCCCCAGGCACCTGCCTGCCCTCTGCCCTCACCTGCCCCCCTGCCCCCGGTGGACCCCTGTGGCTGATCTGCCTCTGGCTCAGTACCCAGAGGGTGAAGGACAGAAGGACACTCTCCCCGCCCACCTCCGGGTCTGCATGTGGCTGGGCAACATTGTGGACAGCTCGGACCTGCAGCTGCTCCAAGAGGGCAAGATGGTCGTGTACGCAGAGACGGTGAGCAGCCAGGGGCAGGGTAGGGGGGACGAAAGTGGGGGAACTGCAATGGCCCAGCACCAAGAAAACGTTACTGGAGAATTTGGGATTGTGAAAGGGAGTCTGATAGAGAAGGGCAGCAGACACTAGTGCGACCTTAGACACTGCCAGCTCGGGGTCCCTGGATGACAAGCCATAGGCGTGTCGTCAGCAGAGTGGACTGACATTCACACTCTGGCTGGTGGAGGTTTATGGGGAGTTTCTCCTTGTTAGTTTAGAGCATGTGAGGTGAGCAAGGCTCCGACTTGCAGAGGCCTTGTCCATAACCAATGGGGCAGCCTGGGGCCTCCACACCCCACAGGTGGGTCCTTCAGGCCAGGCTGGGGATCCCCGGGAGGGGAAGGCCTGGAACAGTCAGAGGGGCAAGAACTGAGGCACCTCCCCACAGAGCAGTGAATTCAGGGGGTGGACAAGCAGTCAGCCAGAGGTGGCTCTAGACTCCAGGCAGGGAGGGCAGGGCTTGAGAGAAGCTGAGAAGTGAAATAGGTTTTGAGTTTCAGGCTTTGTAATTTACTGAATTAAAACACTTTTTCATGGTTCCTAAGTTGTGTGCTGGATATATAATAAGCGGAACCAGCTCGTATAGGGCTTGGAGACGCTGAGATGGAGTGGGGATTCAGGAGGAGGTGCAGGGACCACACACCCAGCAGAGGAACCTGGAAGAAAGGCCCAGAGACAGCAAAGAGGTGGCAAATGGTGGAGCAGGACGGGGTTCAATGGCTCAGCAGTGACACAGGGATACAGGCCACATTGCAGGCACCACCAGGCTCTGTTCTGCTCCACTGTGTGCTGGGGAGGCAGCAGGCACTGACAATCTTCCCTTCCACCCCCACTCCCACCCCCAACCCCAC